GGTATAGAGAATAGAAGAATGAAAGAGAGGTAGAGAGAAATCGAATTTATTGCCATGAGGAACTACAGAGTAATACGAAAGGAAAAAAAAAAAAAAAAAAAAAAAAGAGAGGAAAAAAAAATCTACCTGGAAATAAAGTGAAATATTAAAACTGAAAATAATAGAAATGGAATTGGTATTGTTAAGAAATAATGATAAATATAAATAAATATGAATACGTATGTAGGTACTTATTTAAAATGTGAAAAATATTCAATTATCAATTGAATAAATAATATATAGAAAAAAGCAAATAAATCGTTAATAGGAGCTTAAAAAGAGAAAAATAATGGTTTCCAATCGATGGAACTTTTTGCTTTTGGTTCTATGAGAAACAAACAATAGAAATTTTCCAATCTCTCTGTATGGCTGCGTGCACGGGACACCGTGATTCCAAATTTTATGTTGCACGGGAAAAAAAGGACGAAATACAAGATTTATTCGGCGAATTACGGTAACGACGAACGAAAATATCGGTCCACCACAGGAACATTACTATCTCCTACCTTTTTATCGGCACCATTCGAACGTCCAGTTCCTCTACCTCCGCCAACCAACTTCCGTTGAAATTCATTTGCCGTCTGGTCTCCTATTGAAAATATATATCCGCTAATATGCCGCACTTTGCAACGATATTTACGAGCTAACCAAAGCTCTTTTGAACGAAATCACGTTAATTTACGACTCGTTACCGTACTCTTTTCCATAGTCTATTATCACAATTACATTAACTTTTTTATTTATTTAGAATTTTTCTTTTTAGTTATATATGTGCGGAACGTAATAAGAAAAAAAAAGAAATCTCTACGAATTTTAAATGAAAATTCGAAATTCTCTGCTCTTTTCCTTTTTTTTCTTTCTCTCTTTGTTTTTTTATTTTTTTTTTAATTTTTCTTTCTTTTTTTTTATTTTTTTTTATTATTATTCTTCGCTTTGTTTACGCACTAAGGATGATTTTGAAGAGTCACCGATGGTTACCGGCCGTGCCGAGTTCTTCGATAAATATTTAGAAAACGTCAAATGAAAGTAGACGCGCTTACCGAAGGACGGTTAATCTATCTCGCAGGAACAGGTTTCTTATTTCTCTGGATGTTTTCTTAAGACGCGTTTTAAGAAGAGAAGCGTCCCCAGCGTTCTCTAGACGTAGGCATCTCGTCTGCTCCCCTTCATCCTCCTCTCTATCTCTCTCTCTCTTCCTCTTTCCTTCCCTCCCAAGCCATCCTTAAAAATCTCCGGCTACGGATTTACGTGAAACTAAACATTTACGTTTTTCTCTCGCCTTGTTGTATTTTATCCCTTTGTTTTCTTTTTTCCTTTACGTACCGAGCTATGGACTCTGTAAATGTAAACAATCATTTATCAATCATAGATTATGAAAATATTAAAAAGAAAATAATTAATTATTAAATCATTAATACTTAGCTTATTAAATGCCCCGAAATGTATTATCATTTTTGATTTGAATTTCGCGGGTTGACCTATCTGCAGTTGAAATATCTATAATATATGCGTCCTATCGCTTGGACCAACGCAAAATTCTCCAATAGAATTTATATTTTATCGATTTGTTTCTCTGCCCCTTCTTCCTCCCTCTCTCTTTCTCTCTCTCTCTCTCTCTCTCTCTTTCTCTCTCTCTCTCCCTCTCCCTCGAGCGCGCGCGCGCGCCCGCGCATTCTCATACCAACTGACGGACCTTAACGAGTCATTGTGAACGTGACTGTCGCACGTTATTTATGCATTGCATGGTGCATTCGTAATAAAAGCACCTCTACGAGCTTTCCTCATTTCGCGTGTTGTGAGTGTATAGCCGTTAGTTGTAGGTGTCGAGAAATCGCCAACGAATCAAACGAGTTGTAGAACGCGAGTCGTAAAAGAATTTTTGTCGGTCCAGTTTTACGAGCTTTCGGTCTACGTGTTGGTAGGTTCCTACGATTTGATCGTTCCGAAGTAAAACGAGGGATAATCTCATGGGGGTAGCGTCGTTAAACGGAAAGCAACGAAAGTATTAACACCGAAGCTGAGATTTATGGTGGTAGAAAATAAAGATCGTATCTCGTTTAATCAAAATGTAAACTTAATCAGAATGTAAATCTTTTGTGTTGATATATATATATATATAAACAATATTTATAAATAAATAAAAATAAAGTTACATTTATAAGTATATGAAAGGATAAAAATATAATTGTTATTCAATGTGACAATAAATATAATTTTATTAATAATTTGTTAAAAAATTGACAACGTAAAATAGAATCAAATCTAATAGAATGTACGTTCATTTTTATCGAAAAGACATTGAATAGAAAGATTCCCCGGTAATCAAGTAGGAAGCAGTATAGATGAATTTCGATGGAATAGCTTCGCGGTCTATAATCTAAGGGAAAAGAAGTCCAGTTCTTTTATCCTAGCGATAAAATTCTCTTTTTTTTTTTCGATATTCGAGGAGAAAAACCTGAAAACCGTGGGGGAACAATGACCGGACGTTTTATTCTTATTGAATTATTATGCAAAGTAGCAATTAACCTCTTCATTCGGTAATGGCGTTCGAAACTTTCATATAAAATATCATCGATGAATATTTAAAGGTAATGCCCGACGATGGAGACGACGACGGGAGAGAAAGAAAGGAAGAAAGAAAGAAGGAAAGAGTTGACTATGGACTAAATGGGAGAACGATCGGTTAGTTTCTTATGCAACGGGAAATAAAATTGAATTCTCTGTCATCCTGCTTCGTAACATCGCCGTATAATATTCAATAATCATTAGGTATTTTATTAATTTCGATACATTAAATTTCAACCATTACAATTTTGCTCTACATTTAGATACATCGGACGATCGTATTCTTGTTCGAATTGATAATTGAATTTTATTTGAACAATTACGACTAATGATTTGATTGTTGTTATATTTATAGGGCAATAAATTTATATTGGAACAAATTAAATAGGACATATCTAATTCATTAATTTTCTAATTACTTATCGAATATCGAACGATTGAATCGGCAAATATATGGTTTTTGTAAAACAGTTAAATCCAACTTTTAACGATAAAGAGGGATTTATTTTGATATTTAAATTACGAAGGATTTACTTCGTAACTTCAGTCATCAGTGAAAAAAAAAAGGAAAAAAAAAAAAAAAAGAAAAAAGAAAAAGCACGGAAAACCTCGAGAAAGCTTACGGAAAGCTCACGCTTGGATTATTCCGGTACCGTTGAGATTTCTTATTATAAAAGGAGCCCCTTTATTCGCGAGTCTTTTCGTGTTTCTCTGCATAATAATCTTCTACTCTCTGCTTCCTTCGTACTCCTTTGATCCTACCTCTTCTTTCCAAGACGTTAAAGTACAACGTGTATTTCGTATGTAGAAGTATTATATCTTTATGTAGGTATCTACACAAATACACACACACATATATATATATATATAACATCGCATGTTCAAGCTCTTTCGCGATGCATCGCGATGCCTCTAGTACCGAATTCATGTGGAATCATTAATTAATGAAACGAAACACACTGTGCACTCCCCGGCCTTCACGAATATTACACAATTATGAGAGAGAACTACGATTTTGATTTAGATTTAGGATAGTACGCGGCACTCGAACTCACGAGTTATGACGCGCCGGCGAATTCGAATGACAGGCAAAGTGATTGCCGAGTCGCAATGCAATGTAGTTGCGCATTACTTCGAATGCATAATGACTCGATCTGCGTGAATGCACCACATTTTCGATGCGTTCATGTCATCTCGGACAAAGCTTGACAAAGCTTCGTATTGTACTAATTTATCGACGATCCAAATAATACATATTTTCCTCTTTCTTTTTTGCTTTTTTTTTTTTGTTTTTTTTCTTTTTTCTTTTCACTTAATCATTCGAATGACAATAGAATGAATAATTTGTATTTTCAATGAAATTATATATCTAGTTATTTTCCGATCTGTTTGAATGAATTTTTTTAAGAAAAAACGTGAGACTGCTCTAATGAGTGTTTTCTAAAAAACGATCATTAGAAATAGTGTTATCAATAAAAGCAGGATACGAAAGAAGAATAGAACGTGTATTGTCTTTTGCGCATAATGATAGCAATTTTCTCGATAACATAGTATTCTCATTTGCAAGCGGAAAATGATTAACTACCGTAATGTCATTCGTACTAATTATAAATAAGAAAATGAAAAAGAAAGAAGACATACTTATAAAAGTACATGTTTATTAATGGATACATTACTATTTAAACAATTATCGTAGAAGATAAATAAATGATTTTTATTTTTGATAATCAAAAATGACTGCAATAAATTCGTTTATTTTATTTCCAATATAACAAAATTCTTCTTTGAAGCTAATAAATATATAATAAATGTTCACGTAAGTAATAAAAATAGTTCTAATTAATTATGTTATCTAATTGATGAATAAATCGAAGTAAAGCAAAATCTTCTGACATCAATCGAAGTAAGATCAAACTAATTACGAATCTAATTGAGGGTAATTAGTGAAACGAAATCATTAATATTATGAAATATATAGTGTGTTATCCCTAAAAGTCAAGTATTAAGATTAAATGAAGTGCAGGTATCTTACGTTTCCACGATTCATCGATCATGTCAAGTGTCGCTACCACCTCGCGTGCAAGTTTATACAAACTCTCTATGTCTGTCTCTCACTCTCTCTCTCTCTCTCTATCTCTCCCTCTCTCTCTCTTTATTTCCACTTGATTACTTCACATATATTATATGGTTGTATTTATAGATCATATAAAATAACTATGCGTATAATACATATTCATTGCTGTAAAAGAATAAGAAAAAGAGAGGAAGAAAAAGATATTTTAATTACATCGAAATAATTATACACGATACATAATATACATTAATATCTCATAATCACGTAAAAGTATATTTAATAAATTATTAAATCTAATGTATTATTAAAATAGCACGTGGGGTTAATAATAATATGACATAATAAAGTAGAGAGAAAGAGAGAGAGAGAGAGAGAGAGAAAGAAAAATGAAGAAGATAGAAGAAGACGTTATATCTTCGTAATCCAATTAATGCGACGACAGTGAGACGACGAAGTTTTGAAATTCATTGATCCAATTCAAATTCGATCGTGTTGAATTGATAGCGAAACGTAAACTGTTATACTATACACATTTGAGGGGTTGCCTAGATCGAATTTCGATTGACGATACCAGCACGATTATAGGAATGAAAGAGAGAAAAAAAGAGAGAGAGAGAGAGAGAGAGAAATGGCGAGGAATGTAGTACTTCTATGATTTTTGAAGGTAATACACTTCACTCCGAATAATTACGAACGATTTGTCAAAAGTCGATGAATTCATTATGGTTCTAATTTTAAAAGCAATTTGCATAAGTTTTAAACTCTTCGATCAGGGTCAAGATAAACGTCTTAATAAGACGCGTGCACTAGAATGTGCGATGATTAATTAAAGCGAAGAAAGGTACGATACGTTTCCCTTCTCTCGAGGTAATTCGTCACGTTTCTGAATTGCGTTAATAACAGCGTCTATGTGAAATAAAGCTTCTTGTAAATTCATCAATGTCGTTTAAACGTAGATATTAAACAGTTTAAAAATCAACACACAATTTTCTACGATCTTTCATGTAATCGTCAAATATATCTTCATTCGAATGAAATCGAATAAAATATTGAATCAATTTTGTACAGTTTGAAAATAGAAACTTATACGATTGGCAATCGATTTAATTGATTAATAATAACGTTAATGATGTTCTTTTAAAAAAAGAAATGATTACGATGCTTTTGAAATTCTCTCCTTCGTATCTCATAGCTTAGTATCCATAGATCAGGCTCGTGGAATATTATACCGAATTACACGACTCGTATACTCTCTGCTAATACGCTCAGAGCACGAGTCGGTTAATTAAGATCAATAACCCCTCTCGTAGCGGCGGAGAACTTGCCTCGAGTTTTCCCTCGACCCTTCTATCCTCTTCTCTTCCTTCTCCTTATCCTACATTTTCGGCTCGAGTAACAATCGCGCGGCTTAACGTCGTCATCCTCCTCGTCCAACTCGTTTGCCTACGAGCTATGCTTCTCCTCTAATGAATACGTTTATGAGAGATCCCCAAGTGAGCTAAAAAGTGAACAGGTTCAATGATTTTTCAAAAACTTTATGTAGAAATACGAGCAAATTAATTAATAATAAGTCTATTCAATTTTCCAATATCCATTAGTTATTTCTATGTTATAATCCTTTTTCATTTTTATTCAATATGTCACTGATCGAAATATATCATCGATCGATTAAAAATGTTACCAAACATTTTTATATTATCTAAAAGTACAAGCGTTGTTATAAAATTAAATATTACTTAATATATAATTATTAATTATTAAATATAATATTAATATTAATATAATGTATAAATATAAAATATAATATAATATATTAAGAATTAATAAATATACCGATATTTTATTTAATATTAATTCGATATTTAAATAATAGATAAATAAAATGAATTAATTGATGCCTCTAAATGCTAACCTTCCTTTTGGAATCTGTAACGCTTAAAACGATATTAAAAATATTACGATTATTGTATAACTATAATATTACATAGAATTTCAATTCATTAAATGATAATATCATAAATCTTTTATTTAATATCTTTAATGATATTATCTATATGTAACATTATTTTACATATATCTACATATATTAGATCTGTATATATATGAGATTTTTTTCTATGCTTTCGAAGGACGAGTATAAAATGGAGACGATGAAGGGAGAGAAAGGAGAGTAGTTGGATATAGCAAGCCCACGAATATCTAGAGTTGCATGCCTTCGAAACGACGACGCAAGGACAGATCGACGTGTCGTCGAGTAACCGATTGCAGCGGGGAAGTAGTCGAAGAAAGAAGGTGGCAGAAGCTTACCTTCGAAAGCCTTCCCGTCTTCGTTCCTTCCTTCCTTCCTTCCTTCCTTCCTTCCTTCCTTCTCTTTCCTTCTCTTTCATTCTCATCTCTCACCCTTTCAAAGGTCTCCGTCGTTCTCGCATCTTTTCGACGTCTTCTCGCTGCCTTCTCGTCGTCCCGGCCAAAGGGAAGTCTATAAATTTGCCAAGAGAAATTGTCACGAGAAATATGGAGAATATTGAACGCGAGAGCAAAGCATTTACTCTATCGGTTCGAGAGAGACAAGAAAAAGTAGAGACTCCGCTCTTTCCTTACGAATCGATCACTCGTCCTTTCGGTATATAAGCTTTGGAGGATCCTTATATCCTATACCTTTCCTCTCTTTTCTTTTTTCTTTCTTTTTTTCTTTTTTTTTCTTTTTTTTTTTGTTCTTTTATTTCCTTTTACAATCTCAAAGTGCATTCGAGTCACTCAAAAAGAGAACATTGGAAATATTACTCCTAACTCGTACAGAAAATTCTTCAAGATATTTAATATCGAAGATTACATCTCTCTCTCTCTCTTTCTATCTATCTATCTCTATCTATCTATCTATCTATCTATCTATCTATCTATCTATCTATCTATCTATCTATCTTTCTAATGAAAATTCCATCGAGAATCATTATTGTATTAAATTTGTCTCTATATGGGTGTTCTTAATATCAATTTTTTATTCTCTTCAATGCAACGTGTTCTATCAGAATTTGCCATTGAAGTTATGAGATACCTATCATTGTCTAGTGTTCTTCTAGAAATTTCGTGATCCTTTGTATAAATTTTCTCTACGTTACTTATCCCTTTTTCTGCTTTTTTTTTTTTCTATCCTTCGTACTGTCTCTTCAACGAGAAACGAGCGAACAATACCTTTGATAATATTCCTTCTCTCTCTCTCTCTCTCTCTCTCTCTTTATTTTTTCTTTCTCTTTCTCTTTCATTAAGCCAAAAATCAAGGACAAAGTAATGAACGGAAAAGACCGAAGTGTTATCGATGAGAATGGATATATTGTTATCGTGAAATTCCGTCGATAGGAAAAACAAGAATTAAACGACATTGTTTACTTTTATCTCTCTTCCTTTATTACTTCCTTTGCTTTTTTTTTTTTTGATTCTTCAACATACACACACACACACATAGAGTGTTACTTTTTGTGAAATAATATATGAAAACAACCAAAACAAGAAATCAAATCATAAAATATATTGGAAATATTCAGAGAAATGTATATCGTAAATCGTCACTATATGACCTTTATGTTTATATTCCTTCTGTACTTTGTTCGTTTAGTTTTGGTTAATAATGAGCCAGTCATAGTTAGATCGTAATAGAGTCAACGTCGGCACGGAAATGAAGCCAATCGTAAAGTCTTAAAATTAACTTTTGTCTCTTAACTTTTTAATCTTTTTGTTTTTAGTCTTTTTAACCTTTCAACTTTCTTTTACATCAAGTAACATTTAATTATATCTATTTTATCTTGATTAACATTAGACATGCAACAAGGACTAGATGTCAATTAAATAAAAATCTCATAGAAGTTTATTAGTTACGAAATATACGCATTATCATAATTTCATTTTCAATTCTTATCTAACACGAGACATATATATATATATATATATATATACTTGTTTATTAGCTTCTTTTATAGAATCTCTTTTACAACTTCTTTTCCTCATGAAAGTCTATAAGTAAAATATCTATCATATTTATCAATGACATCGTTTAATTCAAAAGATATTTCTATGTAATATTATCAATATTATCATTAATATTATTACACTATATATATATATATATATATGCAAAATAATATATGTAGATATATGTAAAATAATGTTACATATATATGCGACAAAATAGATAATAACATTAACGATATTAAATGTGAGATTTATGATATTATCATTTAATGAATTGAAACTCTATATAATATTATAGTTGTACAATAATCGTAGTATTTTTAATATCGTTGTAAGTGTTACAGATTCCAAAAGGAAGGGTAGCATTTAGAGGCGTCAAATGCACGTACCGCGACGATGACGGCGTCGTGCGGAGGCGTTAGTGTTTGTTATTACGGACAGGTAAGCCTGCAAAACGCGAGCGACCACCAATGTCTGCGTATAAATTATTAGTCGATATTTCAAGCGTGACGTCACTTCCGGCAATGTGCCGGCTGCTTTCCGCTTTATGACGAATGGCCCCTCGGCTCCCGTCCACCTCGATGCATAGCTCCTCCCTTTGTCTTTTCCGATGATTCGTGCAACGTAATAAACTTGAAATTTTGCACCAATGTCGAATAATATCAGCAATTTTCAACGATACCAGCCATATTTTGATTTAATGCCGAAGTTTATTTTGTTCGTTTGCTTGAAAGTTAAAAATATTGGATTTGGCAAATGAAATTTTTCATATTTTATATCGAAATAAACAACATTTGTATTTAATATTTCTGCTTGAAAATGTCAACCATAATTTAGCAATTTTAATACAAAAGATATATAATAACTGTGCAAAGTGGGTTAAGAAATACGATCATAAAATGTTGTATTTGTTAAAATATTGATTTAAAAATAAATACCTTTTTTTTATAATAAACTTTTTACCTTATACTTTATGCATTTATTTAAGTATCAACCCAATATCACAGAGTTTAAGAAGAAGACACTTTTATCTCGTTGTATAAATAAAAGAAAAAAAGAAGAAAAAAAGGAAAGTAAGTAGTGTAATCAAGTTTGCCAATCGTTACGAATCGTTCTCTCAATCTTCAATATCGTTTCATCGGCAGACAAGGTAAGAGAACGAAAGAAGTGATGAGGAAGGTTGAGGTAGAGCGAAAAGTATCGAGGAAGGGTGGAAATTAAAGGGAGCTCGACGGCGAAACGAACACGTCGCGCGTCGTGTCGAACATGGCTAACAATAAAATCGATCTTCGTTAATGAACTTTCTCTTAGCGTGCGCGAACTCTTTGAATATTATCATTATCGATAAAAAGGCAAATGAATTGGGGAGTTTATATTAATTGACTTTGATTGAAGGACGATATTCATCATCTTTTGTCGTTTCTTATTGCGAAGTAAGACGAAGATGAATTAGTAATTGATAATAGAAAATTCGTAAAATAAATAAGACTTTTATGTTTACATTATAATATTATTTAACGCTTTCATTGGAAGGCTCATAGCTCCGTTCGTTCGACTTTTTATTTCATTATAATTGTGACCCATACGGATTGTCAACTACAATGGTAGAATTAATTTTATTAACTATCGACAATACTAATCGCAATTTTTGTCGATATTCCTTCGTGCAAAGAGAACGGAAGGTCAGCTCATGGGAGTTCAGTACGGGTCAGTTCTTGCGATCGGAGACGCAATTTCAGTTCGTCGATAAGTAAAAGGCGAGGGGTTATTAGATATCACGGATACGGATCAAATTCCAATTTCAACGAAGGGTTCGAGAACGGTTTCTCGATGAAGAAGGGTAAAGGGCAAAGAGCATAGGGCGTGCCCCTTAGAGGTCGAAACCCCTGAGTCGAGATGAAGCTTACGCTCGAATCGTCTCTTCGAAATCTTCGCAGAAACGATCCTGATAACTTTTTATTTTCTATTCGGCTAATCCGACGACAAGAGTTTTCCAATCGATAATCGTGTTTCCATTTTTGCCTTCTTAGCGGCAAGAAATCTATTAGAATCTTACGTTTTCTATTTTTTCTATTATTTAGAAAATAATCTATATATTATTAATATTGGATCCATGGAAAAATATTATTCGTTTTGAGGATCAAAGAAAATAATATATTTTTGTATTATTTATTATTTATACATTAATATTACTATTAATATTAGGACATTAATATTAACAATTACTTTTTATCTTGATGAAATCTCTTCTATTCTTCATCTCCGATAAAATGATACGATAGATTTATATATTGTAATGTTGTTTATCGTTAAAATTATTTTTAATAGCAATGAAACACGCTGTTCGTTATTTTTCTCGTTATGGTTTGTATTTTCGCAACAATCAAGATATAATTCAATAATTCCACGGAGATTACGTTCGATCTTTGATCGCGATCTATCGTATCGTTGTAGATAAAGATCTAATCGGTGGTTTACACAATCATCGTTAATAGCAAGTCTCGATGTAGCTATCAAAGTGCTCGAAACCCTTCCTCGTGATTACGTAGATCTTATCGAGATCTTGAATGCAAACGGTACTGAACTCCTGCGGCTAAGTTTATACCTATTTGTCAAGGTGTAAGCGTTCTTTGATTCCTATTTGCTTTGTCAGGAATCGATCTGTATTTGCTAGTCAGATCTTGCGAACGAATGAGAATTGCATGATAATGAAAAAAAAAAGAAAAAAAAAAAGAAAAAAGAAAAACAAAACAAAACAAAACAAAAAAATAATGGAAGCTTTGAGATTTTTAATTAATCGAGCTCGACTCGTTTAAATTAATTCCGTAAAATTAAGTACTACCTTTTTAGTTTTCATAAAGTATAAAGAAAAAAGATACTACGTTCGTTCTGATTTCAAATAGAGAAATACTTACGTTAATTAACAGATTTTTTGTAATTAACTTTTCAAGACTTTTCTTATAACGATGGTAAGCCGTTCAACTTAAGGGAATGAAATCTTGTCGTGACTTCTTATTCATGGTCTTCATCATGATTGCGTGTTTTAGCAGGTTTTCCTTTTCTTCTTTTTTTTTTCTTTTTTATTTTCTTTTCTTTCCCTTTTTTTTCTTTTTTTTTTCTTTTCCTTTTTTCTTTTTTTTTTTTTTTTTCTTACTAACATGATTCATAGCCGCTTAATAGCGTAATAACTTAAAAAAAAAAAAAAATATCAGAGATTTCTGAACGATGCACGTGACATTATTAAAATACAAGGAAAAGAGAGTATATTGTATCGATTTATGTTATCCAGATAACGTATCTCAGGTGGATCGAGTAAAATGATGGGCTCTCGCACGAACGCCACCGGACATTCGCCAGTTCGAGGAAAAAAAATAAATTGGAACGATAACGACTCGTTTACACCCGAAACTGTTTCCCTTTTCCTGTAAATTCAAACTGGCACGTATCATCGCGTATCGTTTAGTTTTAATATTTACATATAAATACCGAAGTATACTTCGTCGATCTTCTTTT